TTCAAAGATGCAAATTCAACCACCACTCAAGAACACCTTGAGTAGAATTATCCAGCGATGAAATGGGTGCCACGTGAGGTCTTGAGTGAGCTGCGACTGGAGGAATTCATGAGGCTCAGTGACTTCCTATCAGGGACAGGGTAGGAGGGATTCCCCCAGAAGGAGGCAGGTTGGCTAGAGCAGCGTTTCTCAGCCCTGGCTGCATGTGGGAGTCACAGATGAGCTCTTGAAAATCCCCAGCTTACACCTCTGAACAGTTAAATCAGAGTCTCTGGAGATGGGACCTGGCTCTCAGTGGTTCTTCATGCTCTCCTGGTGATTCCCTTGTGCAGCCAAGGCTGACAGCTCCTGCACTACATGACATGAAGTCCCTCCTAAATTTGAACTTTTTTTTTTAAATCCCTGAGTCATATAACCCTCCAACCTACTTTAAGTGTAGTGAAAAGAAAAGGGGAAACTTAGGGGTAGAATAAAGAATATCCTCAGTTGCAAGTTCTTTAGAAGCTAACACCATGAATGGCAAACACAAGAGCCAATTTAATGGTAGTCTATATTGCTATGTTATCCAGAACAAATGAAATATACCACCTGACTTTCCATCCACCTCTCCACCAGCTATCCCTTCATGTTTTCATCCAATTACCCATCTAGATATTCAACTTGCTTCCCATCTATGCAATTAAGTCGATCCCCTCCCAACCCCTCCCACTTCCTTTCCTTCCTTTGTTTCTTTTCTCAAAAAACCTGGAGTATCCAGAAAAGTTAGTTATCTGTGCAGTAGTCCGATAAACTTTTCTGTATTAGTGGAAATGTTCTGTATCTGTGCTGTCCGATAAGAGAGACACTTGGCCGGGCACTGTGGCTCATGCTTACAATCCCAGCATCTTGGGGGGCCAAGGTGGGTGGATCATTTAAGGTCAGGAGTTCAAGACCAGCTTGGCCAACATGGTGAAACCTTGTCTCTACTTCAAAAAACAAAAAATTAGCCAGGCATTAGTGGTGCACCCCTGTAATCCCAGCTACTTGGGAGGCTGAGGCAGGAGAATCTCTTGAGCCAGGAGGTGCAGTTTGCTGTGAACCAAGATCGTGCCACTGCATTCCAGTCTGGGAGACAGAGTGAGACCTTGTCTCAAAAAAAGAAAAAAAAAAGACAGACACTAGCCTCATGGCTATTGAGCACTTGAAATGTGGCTAGTGCAATTGAGAAACTGAACTTTTTATTTTATTTAACTTAAATAGCCACATGTAGCAAGTAGTGGACAGTACAGGCCTAGTGTCCAGCATGATGCCTGACAAATGAAAGCTGCTTAATAAACTCTTCTTCAGTGTATGAAAGGATGGAGTAGAATAATTTTTACTCAGCTTTGCACTGTCCGGAATACACATCTGAAATATTATGTTCTGTTCCAGGCACCAAATTTTAAATTCTATCAACCTAGAATATAGAAGGAGGTAGGATGATAAGAGTCCCAAAACATCAGCCACAGTTGGCAGAACTTGGAATGTTTTGTATGAAAAATAATAGTCTTTGCATGAAATCAACCTAAATGCCCATCAATGACAGGTTGGATAAAGAAAATGTGGTACATATACACATGGAATACTATGCAGCCATAAAAACAAAACAGATAATGTCTTTTGCAGGAACATGGATGGAGCTGGAAGCTATTATCCTTAGCAAACTAATGCAGGGACAAAAAATCAAATACCACATGTTCTCACTTATAAGTGGGAGCTAAATGAGGAGAACTCACGAACACAAAGAAGGGAACAACAGACACCGGGGTCTACTTGAGAGTGGGAGGAGGGAGTGGAGCAGAAAAACAACTATTGACTACTAGGCTTAATACCTGGGTGATGAAATAATCTGTACAACGAACCCCCATGGCACGAGTTTACCTATATAACAAACCTTCACATGTACCCCCAAACCTAAAATAAAAGTTAAAAAAGGAAAATCATCATATTTGGATTCATTTTAGTTTTGTTTTTCTTTTTTGTATACCTTTGGTCTGGATCAAAGGTTTTTATTTTTATTTTTATTTTTTTTAATTAAAGGGTTGGATTAGGCAATGTTTTAGGCCCACATAAGATAGAAAAGTCTATGATATGATAGTTTTTCCTGTAGAAGAGGAAGTAGACTCTCATAGAGCAGAAATTTGATGACCTTGGAGGAAACTAGATTCACCCACACACGGGGACGAACTTTCTGAGAACAGTGCGGGAACAGAATGAGGGAACCCGTGAGCTTCTTCCCTGGAAATACACAAGAAGAGCCTCTCAAAGTTCAAATCGTGAATAAGTGCAGTCTTCTCTTTCCAGCCACAAACATTTCCCAGCATCGGTATTTTAGGGCAGCACATGGATTTCCAAAGTTTCCAATCATTAGTACTAGTTACTGGTTCAAAGTTACACCTCATGCTTGTTTCTTTCAGAATTGTGTCTGAGTGCAGTCAGTTCATCTTAAGTGACAGAGTTTCACCCAACAGCCAAATGATTTTGGATTCTTTTTACCAATCTCCTTGATTAAATATTAGACTTGTTCATTACATTTTAGTAACAGGTGTTTCAAATGTGGCCGATTTTTAGTTTCCAATACGGGCTGATATGTTATTTAGTTGAAGGAGTTGGTCATGAAGAATATGTTTTCATAGGGAAAGTATGCGTATACATTCCAAATAACATGGTTGTGAGGTATTCAGCATGACCAGAATGTTCAGCTTTCTGGGACCCAGTGCTTCCACCTCCAACTGTGCTATGGAGAGAGAGCCTTTCCAGGTACCATGTATGTTATAATTGATAGCACACTTGTATATCATTTTGTATTCTCATACCTTCTTTATCTTTCACCTAGTTCCATGTGGCTAAACATTACTTAAAAATGTAATTAGTAATGACTCCAACATATTGTATAGATAATCATGGTTATTTAATCATTGCCTTTTTGTTGTGTGATTAAGTTGTTCACAATTTGCTCTGCTATAGATAAGACTGCAATAAACATATTTGTGTGCATTTTTAAATTTTCCTTAAAGTATATTACACAAATCACAATGTCTACATTGAATTATATTTCGAAGTCTCTTGATGCATTTTGTCAAATTGCTTCCAGAAAGTGTGTAAATCATTTTGTATATGATTTTGCATATCATTCTGTATTCTGATATCTTAATTTCTTTGTCTTTCACCTAGTTCCATGTGGCTAAAAATTACGTGAAAATGTAATTTGTAATGATTCCAACATATTGTATAGATAATCATGGTTATTTAATCAACCTTTTCATTGTGTGATTAAGTTGTTCACAATTTGCTTTGCTATAAATAATACTGCAATAAACATATTTGTGTGCATTTTAAAATTATTTCCTTAAGGTATATTACACAAATCACAACTTCTACACTGAATTAGATTTTGAAGTCTCTTGACGCATTTTCTTAAATTGCTTCCAGAAAGTGTGTAACAATATATATACTCTTTGCACTAGTAGGTGATGGTGCCCGTTTCAGCAAGCATCCATCAATATAGAGAAGATCTAAAAGAAAGAAAAAATTACTTGGCCAGTTAGATGGGCAAAAGGGATGCCATTATTGTCGTAATTAACATTTATTTCATTACTGATTTTTTTAAACTACAAGTATGAGTCATTCATATTTCCTTTTCTGTGAATTATCTCTTTCTGCCCTTCACCCAATTTATTCTGCTGTACAGATCTGCTTTTTGCTTATTAAGTCATACACAGGGCTCACCTTTCTTCTCCCAGAAGAGCTAACTCAGCCTGCCTGGTTCAATGTAATCATCACCACTTTCTGGAAACACCTGCACTTCAAAAATATACTTCAACTTATACCACATCCATGTGGAACACCCCATATTCCCACCACTCTCACTTGAAGTACTTGTCAAAGTTAGCACTCATCCTCTGTCAATCCAGGCATTTCCAGAAGAATCGGTAAGGCTTTCTAGCTCTACCCTCTAACACAAACAACCTCGTTCACCCAGAAGAAAAGACATCTAATCAATCAACTGACTCATCTAGTAGCTTGACTTAGTGTGGATTTTCAATGAAAACTTCAAATAAATACATATATTTCCACACATACATACTTAATGCACACACATATATGTGTTATAATCAGCCCTCTGTATCCACGGGTTCCACATTTGTGTATTCAACCAATCACGGATCAAAAATATCTGGGAAAAAACTCCACAAAGTTGCAAAAACCAAGCCTTGAATTTGCCACGCAGCAAGTGCTATGTCGACTCCACATGAATGAAGTGCTGTGTACACATTGTATTAGGTATTACAAGTAATCTAGGTATGATTTAAAGGGTACTGGAGGATACTCATAGGTAATCAGCAAATACTACATCATTTTATAAAAGGAACTTGAGCATCTATGGAATTTGGTATCTGCAAGGGTCCTGGAACAAATCCCTCACAGATACCAAGGGAGGGCTGTATATATATAAAAATGTATGTATACATATACACATATCTAAATTATATTTTCACTGACTATTTCTTACAAGTCAATATAAAGAAACACAAGCTATTAAGTTTAAGCTCTTTGGAGTAGTCCTATGTACAATAGTTGAGAATTTGTGAAAGTATAGGAGGGTAACATGGGCACAGATGTTGACTAAAGAGGTATAAAGGGCCAAGTTTGGGTGAGTGCTACACGCAAATATATCATTGTGTGAATGGGAGACAGAAAGGGGAAATTAGAAAAAACAAGAAGAAAATGGAGATATGTGGCCATATCTTCTGCCACTCTGGCCCCATACTACCTCTAAATTGCTGTGTACCTTCCTTCTCCTCCCCTCTAAATCCAAGAGCACTGCTGGAAGTTATTACTTCCACCTGCCTGGACCCCTCCTTGTTCCACCTCCCTTTTCCTGGAAAAGCGACACCTACCTGAAAATCTCTTCTAAGTAAAAACTTCTGTTGTATTTCAGTAAGTTCTTGCCCAGATAAGCACAAGAAGACCAGTGGCACCTGCTAATTTAGTGAAGTCCTTGATATGCCCAGTGATAGCTTAGATGTCATCATTCCTGAAACAGAGATACCATCAGATCACAGACATTAGTAAAGTAGTAAACAATGTAAGTATATAACTTCCTGTTTTAAACAGACTAGCTTCACAGTTTTGCAGGTTTTCAGAAAGATACTTACTTTGGTGCAGTTCTTCTTTTTCATGATTGACACCGCATACTAAACACTCGCCTAAGAAATCCTTGCAATGAATGCTGCTTTAGGGGCTCTTCACCCCACTGGCATTGCTCATTTTTGGTGGTGGGGGGTTGTTATAATTTTTTTTTTAAGACAGTGTTTTACTCTGTCACCCAGGCTGGAGTGCAGTGGCATGATCTCAGCTCACTGCAACCTCCACCTCCTGGGTTCATGGGATTTTCCTGCCTCAGCCTCTGGAATAATTGGTATTAGAGGCACGTGCCATCATGCCTGGCTAATTTTTGTATTTTTAGTAGAGACAGGGTTTCACCATATTAGCCAGGCTGGTCTCAAACTTCTGACCTCAAGTGATCTGCCTGTCTCGGCCTCCTAAAATGCTGGGATTTCTAATTCTTGAATAAGCATTGATTTGACCCACCAGGAGACAGGACGAAGAATGAAATAAGAATTTCCCGGCAAAGGAATAAACTAATTATCCTGCAGGGTCCTGTAGATACTCGGATAGGGCAAAATGTGGCTGCAAAGGTTTAGACAAGTCTAAAAGACTTGAGTCTGAGTTTCAGTTGTGGCACATACAGCTGCATAACCTGGAGGTAGTAATTTAAACTCGCTATACCTCAGCTTCCTCATCTCTAAACTGGAAATAATGATATTTAAGTCATAGCATTGCCATGAAACCAGCTAAGATAAGTATGTGAAAAGTCTGCAGAATATACAGGGCTAAGCAAATGTAAAGCGTGGGTAGAATGCCACTGTGACATAAGTGTCACAGGGCAGAGCCATGTGCCTACTGTATGCGCTGATGTGTCCCTTGGGACCTAGCATGGTACTGGGCACAGAGCATGTATTCACTCAATATTTGTGGGAAAAACTCTGACTAAGCATGATGTGAAGAAAGAATAGGGAGAGAATTTGAGAGAGAGAGAGAGAGAAGAAAGGGAGGAAGGGGTTCAGTTTCCACCTCAATCAGAGTATTGGTGATCAGAGACAATAGAGACCTGATAAAATATCAAGAATGCTCAAATATAGTTAAAGCATAACCAATGAAACATTTCACTATTTAATCCACAGTATATTCAATATACCATATTCAAATTGGCTAAAACAAAATTTTAGAGTGGTGGTAAGAGCCCAGACTTTGCTGCTGGACACTTGAGTACAAAACCTACCTTTACCGCTTAATAGGGATATCACCTTGGGCAAGCTACATAACCTCTGTGTGCCTCAGCGTGCGCTACTGCAAAATAATGTAGCAATGCCTAGCTTGTAGGATCTGTGTGAGGAGTAAATAAATTAGGACTAAGTGGAGACCAGTGCGTGACATGTGGACAATGTCATGAAAATATTTATCATGGTTGTAATGACAGATCCTCTCAGTGAGAAAGAGGCATTCACTCAGGGTGGCCTGAAATATAGCATAATATCTTGTGCTCTGATTCAGCATGTGGGATGTCAAATGCAAGTTCTATGGGGTTTAGAAAACAGGACCATGTGGGTTGAAGGGACTGGGAACGGCTTCATGGAAGAGAAAGGGCCTGAGGGATGAATAGAATTTGGCCATGTGGAAGGGGTAGGGAGAGTTTCCAGGAGAAAGGAAGTAGAGCTACCAAAACCAAGAGGTGAGGTGAGCTTGGTCCCTGTGCAGGGGTAGGCAGGAATGAAATTAGGGAACAGATATGCTTGCGTACTAATACCAGGAGCCAAGAGCCAGGGAGATTAATATATATACACACATACACATTTAAAAATGTGTAAAACATTATATACATCTGTTAGGGTGACACACATTCAGAAGCTCCAGCCCTGTAGAGCATTCAGAGCCACCCACAGGTCTCTGGCAGAGGGTGGAATTTGGCGGGCCCATTATAGTGCATCTGGCTTCCACTCCTTTCACTTTGTCTGGGGAGTTTTATCCCCAGATCACATGACATGCCAACAGGTGGTTGATGACATCTGAAGACAGGAAAGCCGTGGGCCTGGCAGAGGTAGTGGGCATGGAGCAAAGAGTGGAGGGAGATACGATTGCTGGTTTTGGCTAGATTATAAAGAGATTATAAAGAGTTGAGGAGTTCACAGCAGATTCCATGGAAATGTGGGAGCTATTAAAGGATTTTGAGTGATAGTATCAGTACTACCTGATTGAGATCAGTGCTTGAGGGTTTTCAGAATATTCCACATAAATTTTCTGGGTCGAAATCCCACAGTGACCTTTAAAGTTAACAGGGAGATTGTCATCCCAGAGCTGCCTCCATGGGGTGCCATTCACAGTGTAATCAATGCAAACTGCTCCCCCTGAGACTATGTAGTAGACCAGAAGGAGGAGCAATGCAGGCAATCACCTAACCTGTGGATAAGGGAATTGAAGTCAAGTGATCTGTCCAAGGTCACACGTGACTAAATGATGGAGCAGGAATTCCAACTCCAGCCTCCTTAATTAGCACTCTGTGTTCTCACCAGTGGTGAAATAGAAGGTACCCGGGATTTAGCACCAAACAGACCGGGTTCACTTCACCCATTTATGGCTCATACAGATGAGTCATTTAGCCTTCCTGAGCCCTAATTTCACCATCTACAGTGGAAATTTTGGCTGAGATAAAACACATGGTAGGAGCTTGATAAATAATCACAATTACCAAATGACATCTCTGCAGAGTTAAAACTATAACAAAGCATTCTTCATCTGAAATCAACAAATTTTAGTATTTCCTAGAAGGTTACAAAGATTTAAAAAGTATTTGGAAATTTCTGTAAAGAAGCTACATGCAAAAGATTTTTAACAGCTAATTCATAAGAGATTGTAAAAATTCATTCACTTCCAATTCTAGACCTTGGAGAAAAACAAAGAGGACAGGGGACAGAATTTTTTTCTGACATTTTGCAATACGGCAGATTCTTGTAAGAATCTCTATGATTTCCCTCATTAGTTTTTCAGTTAACAACGTATCGAAGAGTCATTTGCTTGCACCCATTTTAAGTGTACAGGTCAACAAATTCAACAATTGCATACCTCTCTGAATCACCATCATAATCAAATATAGGACATCTTCACACCTCAAAAAGTACCTTATGCCCCATTTCATCAATGACTCCCTTATCCCCTGTCCCAGGCAACTGCTGATCTGCGTTATGTTGCTCTAGCTTAGTTTTGCTTGTTCTAGAATATCGTATATAAATGGCATCATGCCATATCTACTCCTTTGTGTGTAGCTTTTTTCTCAGCATAATGAGTTTGAGATTCATTTGTGTCATTCCATGTACCAGTGATTGTAGGGTCCCCCAGGTCCCCCCACTTTTTTCTCTGTCTCACCTGAGAAATAGAGAGTACCTTGACTACCCTGTGACTTGGCCAGCTTTGTGTTGTCTTCTGTGGCTTGAACTCAGGCTGGGGACTTGAAGACTTCCAGGCACTAATAAAGGTATTCAGGTTATTGCTAAAGCACTAAAAGAAGTGATCCCCAGCCCTGAGCCAAATTCTGCAAACCCTCATATAAACTCCATACCCTGATCCCTTCGTGGCGGACATAGCTAGGTAGAACATCTCTTTTTCTCACTGTCTGTCATGAGAACTGCTGCAACACTTTGTGAAGTTTCCCTAGCAAATACACTGTACTCAACATTAAGAAACCAGCCCAATAAAAAAGATCTGAATAGACACTCCATCAAAAAAAAAAAAAAAAGTATAGATGGCAAATAAGCACATAAGATTGTCAACATTGTTAGTCATTAGGAAAATGCAAATTAAAATTGCAATGAGATACAACTACATACTTACTAGAATACCTTTTTTTTTAATTGACAATATCAAGTGCTGACAAGAATACAGAACACTAAAACTAGTGTTTTCATACATAGCCAGTGGGAATGCAAAAACGGTATAGCCACTCTGAAAATAAGGCAGTTTCTTATAAAATGCACTACAATTCAAAGCAGCTCATTATGTGTTTAAAGAACTAAAAGTGTCAGTCTGTCAGAACATTGGAGCAACTTTCAAGTAAAGCAGTTTGGTTCTCAGGAATATGTAATTGAAATAGAGAAAAGATCTGAAACTATGTGTTTAACCAACTAGGAAACATAAGCAGATCTTGGTTTCTTTCAAATGTGTAGAAATTATTCTCTCAATCTTGAAGGTGGTAAGAAGATCAAAATCAGGCACCTGGATTATGAAAAACAGTATTCTGGTTACTGTAGCTTCATACCAAATGATCTTAAAATGTAACAGCTTATATTGTAACCCAAACAGCATGGTGTTGGTATTAAAACAGACACATAAACCAATGGAATGAAATAGGAGCCCGGAAATAAATTAACGCACTTACAGCCAACTTATTTTCAACAAAGGTGCCAAAAACATACACTGAGGAAAGGACAACCTCTTCAATACGTGCTTCTGGGAAAACTGAATAGCCACATGCAGAATGAAACTGGACCCCTATCTGTCACAAAAACCTACTCATAATGGATTAAAAATTTAAACGTAAAACCTAAAACTATAAAACTACCAGATGAAAGCATAGGGAAAATGCTTCAAGACGTTAATCTAGGCAAAGCTCTTGTGGCTAACACTTCAAAAGCACAGGCAACAAAAACAAAAATAGACAAATGGGACTGTATTAAGTGAAAAAGCTTCTGCATAGTGAAGGAAACAACCAACGGAGTGAAGAGACAATCTATAGAATGGGAGACAATCTATAGAATGGTTTGCATATAGAAAGGCTACAGTGAATGGTGAGGATCGAGTTGACCAGGTTCACTCACCAGGTGGAGGGCTCACTCCCATGCATAGCCCCCATTCCCATATCCCACTCCTTTTCTCCTGAAGGGAGCTCAAAGTGTCTACACCTGGCTTCTCTCCACTCCTTTA